GGCTGCTAATTGGGATACTGGAAACCTCGAGACGAGGGATGCAAACTTATTTTGCCACGATGCGGAGAGGAGATATTTAAACCTTTATTTCTATTTCATCATTTGAGACGATGGCCACAAGGGCATTGGTATCGAGTTTCGTACCACCCGCAAGCGGCAAATGCGGGATGGCTAATGTCCCCGCCATGTGAGCCCGGGAGCCCCACTTTACCCCGGGCTGCACCCCGACAACTACTATTTTCCCTCCCGCCTTGCTTCCCGCTGTCGTAGAATCTCTAGTGATCTCGAAATGATGATGATTCGGAAACATTCCAGGCGCCGAATTCTCGATTGCCGTGTTTAAACTGGATACCAATTAGCTGATGTGGGCTTGGCTATGCCAAATGCCAAGGCTGCTATTGGTCCAGCTCGCCCAGCCGTCCTATCTCCCCGGGCCGCCAGCTCAAAGTCCGCGGCTGGAGAGAGTTTGTAAGCGGAGACGGCATATCAAACAAGCGCGAGATTTCCGTGAATGATGATTTAAGACGCCACCACCTGTATAGAGCCATAGTTCTTGGTCCGAACACCTCGGGAAAACTCAAACGTACGGGTTGGTTTATGTTATGTTACCATCTCAAGCGGTCGATAAACTCACCATGCTGTATTTACGTAAGATAGATAAGGTCTTGAGATTCAATCTTCATGATACAAAATCCAGTCGCCATGGGGAGCCATACACTGGATTTCCATGAGGAGATCATATTTCTAGTTAATGATGTACATTTGTCCAAAAGCCTATTCGAAACCAGCTCAGACAGGTCTTGTGCCTCGGCCCTCTTCTCATCTTCATCGAAACAATATTCTACGTGGGAGAAAAGAAATCAGAGCTTCAATTAGATCCCAAGGTAAATATGCCATTTTGATCATAGTGTCTGCTTTTAGCTTCATCATTTGCTAACACTTGTTTGATGCCTCGTTCACATTATATAGACGTCTAGCATGAGTAAAGAATCTGCAACATAAGTTTGAATGGCATTCGTATGGCTCGGAAAAGAGGAGAAACAAATTCATGTTAACAAGATAAATATTTGGATTTCAGGTCTCTTCATCAGGTCCGCATAGGAAATTCAGAATTTGCACTCTTCGCGGAATGATAAACAATACTAAACATCACTCCCAGGCTCCAATGTTAATAGCATCTAGATCTTGTCAACTTTTCCTTCTTGGCTTTGCTACCTTAGGTCAACGACCAGTTTTCAAGCAAAAGTGATCGATGGCTTGATTAAGATGTGTGTTTTCAACAAGACTCCACCAAGAAATGATGCCTTGTCGACTTGACAACCACACGGAAGCCGCTCTTGACCATACCGACAATAGCCATACCCACAACACAGGTGTCTATATTCCATGTCGTGGATCCATAAAGCTTCATCCCAATTCGTAAGCAAAGCTCCGTCTCCGCTACTCCCAAATCAAGCACCTCGGAAGCAATTTACTTACCTCTTTCGTCACCTGACTTTCCCAATCGACACTCCTCAAGGCTGAAGGGTGCTCAGCTCAGCCCTTCGCTTGCTCCTCGTACCTCGTATTAACACACCCAATCACCGCCATCGGACTAGCCCCATAGCTCCCGTACCTTGGCTCTATCACCCCAATCACCCTCATCCACCTCCTGTACAGTCATTATTTTAATATCTATACAACACCAACTGTCTGCCTACTGTAACAGTGCAACCACCTTACGGTCCATACCCACACCATCCCATCTCAAAAGCGATGCCCCCTTTCATCTTAAAATCACTGGCTTCCCCGTTCCGTCGGCACCGGCACTCCGTAAGTACGCAACTTGCAGCAACCTACTCCGTGCCTCAGTATCCTTTTCCCCTTTTTGTGCCTTATCTACTTTAGGACGAACAGGACACTATAGCCAAAACGGGTTTAAGACAAGATACCAAAAAAGCGCCAGACGCAACGCGCAAGCCTTAAATCACTAGCCGCTCGGGAATTACGCCAGATTTTTTTTTTCTCGGTCTCGAGAGTCTTTGCTCCCTGTCCCCCCACATCCCGACCCAGGTCTTCGTCACCACCTAAACCCCTGTGCCCATCCCGCCGACGACGACGGGGCAAAGGCACATGCTGCCAGCAGCCAGAATCTCTCTCTCTAGTCTCTCCCCTTTTCCCTATGCTGTGATTTGCTCTTGGCCTCACGGTTCAGTGTTTCTCTCCTCCTCCTCTCAGTAGAGGTATCCGCTTCATTGATCATCGAAGCCTCACGGTCCACCCAGCGGTCCATGTCCGAGAACTGTTTTCTTGCTCTCTCCGACTGTGTGGTTCACACCCGTCCCAATCATCGGACAACTCAAAAAGTCCGACAAGCTCGTGCAATTTTCGAATTCAGTCAGTCAAAACCCGAACGATTGTGTCCAAATAAGGTCACCACCACGAGGTGTCCCCCCTTTTCTTACACTTCCCTCTCCGTCTTGTTATCACGTGGTTGAGCGGGATTGCGTCGTCACTATACTCTCGAATCTGAACCTCTTCCTATTAGATCAGACCATAGTGTACGGAGTAGCGCACACACGTACAAGCGCGCGTGCGCGGGCGCTTGTTCCGGCGGGATACCTACCACAACCATTCATCCCCGCGCAGTCCCAGAGGGAAACCTCGGGTATCCGGACGCACACAGCAAACGCCTTTCTAAGAGTTAACAAACAAGACAGAGGAACCGATACTGATTTCCCGACTCTTCTATTTCCTCTACTTCCAGGTTCTCACTACTGCAATCCATCCACAAACTCTGCATCACATCCTCCCCTCCGTGCATTCAACCCCAAGGACAGTAAGAAATCCCCGTCTCAAGTACTCCGTACTCAACCAACAAGAAAAAGGTATCCGTAGGCACCGGGAACCCCACCTCCGTGCAGTTGCACTGCCGGATTGCCAAGACGCCAACCCGGCGGCCGGCTTCCCATCAAGAAACCCTTTGTCGATTTTTCCCTCTCTTTGTGCTTCTCAGTTCTCCCAGGCCCTGCCGCCTATCCGTCTCTACTTTGCCTACGTGCCTTACCTCCCCGGCCAGCCGATGATGGATGCCGTGCTGTTCACCAACGCCCGTTCCGTTGATTGAACGTCGTTCCCCCTCGTCTGATACCAGTGCAATCTCCAATGCGCTCTCAGAAAACCAACCCCCATGTCGTCCAACTTCTAAGACTCTAACCCCCCGCCCGTTCGACTAGCAGTAGCGAGAATAATCCCCCCCCTCCTAGCCTTCCCGTCAAAAATATCCTTGCTGTAATTAACCACCACGCATCAGGAAAACCTTGGAAACCCCAATTTATATCCCTAGCCCGTTGAAAGAGTAAGAGAAACCGACAGCCTGCGTCGAAAAACCCCAATCCTTGGCGGGAACCACCCCCCCCTCCCTTCTTACGGTATGGTGTTACGGGTGTCAAAACAGCCTCGTAGGCTCGCCCACAACACGTGCTCTCCTGCCTTGCCAACCTTTGAGCAACTCGCCTGATCTGGGCTGAATCACGCAGGCTGTGGGCTGCGTCACACACAAGGCCAAGATCCCAACGACTTGCTTACTTAGCTACCACAGTAGAAGCCATGGAAGCCTAGGCAGGTGGTGAACCCGGAGGAGCGCTGTAGCGCCACCCCCAAGCCAAGAAACCACAGCCCGGCGCGGCAAACGCCCCCAATGCCAATGTCAAAATGCCGAATGCCAACGCCATCTTCAACGGGAACCATTCAATCCCAACAGCACCGCTCCAAAAGCCAAGGTACGAAGACGGGCAGGCGGGCGGATCGGAAGAGATGATAGAGCAAAAGTCAGGGTTGGATAGAATAATGGGGGTGGACAGTGGACTACCAACAAACTCCACTTTCCAATGCATCGCAGCGTCAACCTGCATCAACCTCACCGACATTGAGGCAATTCTAGCGTGAAGGGTCAACCATGATGAAACGATTCCCCTTGCTTCTTATCAAGATACGATCTTCAAACGGAAGTAAATCAGGTGATAAAATTTGGAAATCATATTAGATTCAAGATTCAACATTCACATGGCATGATGAAAATAATATTGAACGTTTCAAACTTTGGTAAATTTGCTTCTAAATCCTGCGGACATGGCTTCTCAAGCTCGCGGTCCGGATGTCTCCATCTACGTCCTCTCCTCAGAGGGACAAGAGAAACAAAAGTTCTCTTTGAGAAAAATAAGTAAATAAAAAAAAACTTCTTCAATCGTCAACTCCATTTCGGCCAGATGGAAAGCGTATCTGGTGCCTTTCATCGCTCATGCAAAAAGACTCGAAGATGCAACACAACCCAGCGTACACGTGTGAAGTCCCCGAAACGCCCCTTCCAGAAGAACCTCGGCGCGATGGTGAGCCATTGCTGTCCCTTGACTTCGAACCTCGATCGCCGGCTTCCTCTCCCTTCTGCCTCGTGTCGTGCGAGGCAGGTTTGTTTATAAAAGTGACCAGGCAAGCCCTGCCTATCCCATGGTTGCGCCTATTACCGCCGACATCCGGCGGATGTCCAACGCGCGATATTTTTCGACAAAGGAAATGAAGCGAAGTAAATGAGGTGGTGGTAGATACATTTCGAGCCCCGTTGCCCGATGAGACCGATGCGATATCCAGAGTGTGACGACGATCAGATGTGTACGGCCGTCTGAAGTGTGGTACCGAGTTCATATGTAGGGACGGAGCGCCGGTCTATGATGCCGTTGTTTTTGGTTTTGAATGTATCGGATTTAGGTAGATTAGACATAGAAAATATTATCATTGCCTTGATTGGTGCTGCACATTTGTGCAAAAAGCCGCTCGTCATGGCGGGTGAGCGGCGACGACCTCGGGGCCATGGAGGTAGGGGTTCTGGCATCCACTGGGTATCTTGAAAAAAGTAGCAGATATTGCCAGCCCGCAAAAGAAGTGGCCTCGGGTCGGCAGGAGGTGGTATGGCGGGTATGCCATCGTGTGGGTTAAAGCGCGGTCGTAAAGCTCGCGCTCGTGCTTCAAGGCAGATCGCGGCGGCGGCTCGGGTCGTGCGGGGGGAACTGGTGATGCCTTGCGTTTGCGTTGGCCTGTGCCGCGAGGTACTCCGCGGATCCGGTCTGGCGACCGGGCTGCTCAGCTGGCAACTTGGTGTCGTCGCGTCTTTGAGGAGCTGCTTGACGGGGAGGGGGTGCGCTGCTCGCCGAAGGGCTAGGCATGCCAGGAACGAGGTCGGTGACGGCCTGAGCAATAGACTTGATGACATATCCCCGGAGCTCGCGGTCCTCGCGGCTGTCCTCCTTCTCGAGTCTGAACTTTTCATCCTTGTTCATATTGCCGCGACGCAGACCCCTGATCTCGTTCAGGATGTAGAGCAGGACCTCTTCGGGGCATCTGTTGCGTTCTGCGCAGAAATCGCTCTTGCGTACGTATCGGCGGGTGACATCGGTGGCGCCGTCGATAGAGAAAGCGATGCAGTAGGACATCTTCTTACCCCAGCCCTCGGTGTAGAGGCGTGGGTTGTCCCATGCCTCCTCGCAGGCGTCGACGTGGACCCATCGCTTCTGGTGCTCGGAGTATACCTCGGTCCAGACGTGGTCCTCTGCATTCCAGATCCAACGAACTCTGCCTCCCATGGCACGGCAAAGCATGCTGAAGCAGTTCGCCCACTCTCCAACACGTCCTCTGCGGGTGTGCAGCAGTCTCCAAACATCGCCGTACCTTGGGAATCGTTCGTAAGCGCCGCAGTCTCCGGCTGAGCATTTGTAGAGCTCGACTCGAAGTGCACCGCATGCACTTTCGTCGGGCGTCGGGGGCGTCATGCCTTGGGCGATTGTGGGCGAAAGGCATACGGGGCACGGGGGGTTGTTAACCCAGGTGAAGAATGATCGCTTGAACCATCTGTATAGACAATTAGACTGTGTCCAAACAATTCAAGTGGAAACATCCAACTTACCTCAGTAGTGCGCGGATAACGCAATCTTGGTAGCCCCAAGTGGCTTTGCGTCCATCTCCCATACTCTCAGCCTCGGCCTGCATCACTTGGCACTCCTCTTCCGCCTCGCCGTATATCCGGTCGAGGGGTATGCACTGCAGAGCCTCGTCCAACAAACCAGGATTTTCGTACTTTGTCGGGGTAAGAGAAAGGCTGATCATCAGGTTGCGGAATTTTTGTGAATCGCGGTCGTGGGCGGCGGGTGGTGTGGGAATCTTGGGAAGGTGGCGAGAGTAAGCGGGTGGTGTCGGCGGCATGGGTGTTGAGCTGTGTGAAGTTGAAGGTCGACCGGGACCGGGTGATGCGAGACCTCGAAGGTTGGCGCTGCTTGCGCTCTCTCTTGGTTGAGGAGTGCCTTGGCGGGAGGTAGTTCGAAGTTCGGTCATGCGCTTGTCACGAAGAAGTGACTCGAACTTTACCCTCAGGTCGCGAGCCCACTCTTCGCCGTACTCTCCATCGCCATTCGGGGGGCCTTCTCCCGGGGGGTAACCGTGGCCGTCCATCTCAAAGTCGTCGGTGGTTAGGTGAATGTGAATGCTGAGGGTGTCGAAGAAGGGAGAAGGAGGAGGAGGAGGAACGGATAGAGGGTCTTCGACGGAACTCTCCCAGTGGTCGTCGAGTAGTTGAATCGTATTTGTGTCAGATCAGGTCGGCGAGATGGGTTGACTTAAAGAGTGGAAGTCGTCGTCGTCGTCGTCGTCGTCGAAATTGATAGTCGTCCAAGGCTGCGCGAATGCTGTATCGGTTGCCAGTCGAACTTGAAGCTGCCTGTGGTGCTGTGTGGTGGTTTTTAGTCGACCAAGGCTGGGTTTGCTTCTCGTCTGCTAGTTGGAAGAGTCGAGGCTCGGCACTGTCAAGAGTTCCTGAGCCAAGAGTTTCTAGCTTTGACTTCCGGGTCGGTCGGGAGTATTTCAGGCGTCGGTCATGAGGGTGAATGCGAGTCCCAGCGAAGCGATCGTGGCCGCTATGGGAGAGTGTTTGTTGGTTCGCAAGATTCGGTGCCTTGTCGTCGGTAGAAATCGAGAATCGAATTTCAGAAGGCGAGTGAAGTGCGATGTCGAGAAGGAAGGGATGGGATGGGGGGGATGGGGGTGTTGAAAGGGTTGGTAGCGGGCGGAGAGGAGGGTGCGATTGGGGAGTGGGCCGCCAGGGGAATTGACGGGAGCAAAAGAGCGGACGTAACGTACGCCAGCAGTATCCGTAAGGTAGCGAGCGAGCGTACGTAGTAGGTAGAGGTGGGAGAGAAGTTGCGTTGCGTTGCGTGTGCTGCGTCTGCGTAAGGCGTAAGGTGGAAGAGGAGTGAGGAGTGAGAGAGGCAAGGGAAGTGGAAGGGGTCAGGTTCAAGGTCCAGGGGGTAGGGGGAGGGGTGTGTATTCAGAAGAGTAGACTTTTGGACACGCAGAGGTGACAGAAAGAGAGGCGAAGAGAATGGTAGTAGCGAGAAAGGAAGAGATGTGTGTGTGTGAGCGTGTGAGGCAGAGAGAGAGACTGAAGGAGAGAGAGAGAGAAAGGCACAGAGGGGGGAGTGTACGATGGAAGCGGGAGGAGTGCGAAAAGCAGCAGAAAGCGTACGCACGCCGCTCTCTGGCTGGCTCCTCATGGGCGGTTTACGCGTAAGCTGTGCAACTCGGGCCAATGACAGGGGCCAGATCGCTTCAGAGTGGATCCCGCTCAATCCGCCCCGGCACGTACCACGACTCCGTCTTTTCTGTCCCAAGTGAGCAAGAGGAATCAATCCAGAGACTGTGGGCAGCGTGCCTTCCCTCTCCTTCCTGGCTGCACCTCGGGGATGTACTGTACCTCGCGACATGTAGCTTTTTCCCAAACCTCGTACCTTCGTACCGTATCCACAGCTCCATCTTACCTAAGGCACTCTGAGTCTCTTGAGCCAATCACTGCCATCTCACTCCTAGCCCTTTTCTCCATTCTGGCGGATTCTCTCGCGCACGTACTCACGTACTCCCGTACTCCTCCCCCCCGCCACTGGCCAACGACACACTCATCAGTCAGACGGCTGCTCTTCTCTCCAGACTCCCAGTCACCACCACCGTGTCCTACGGCTTCACCCACGACAAGCACCTGGTCCGGCTACTAGTGACGAATCCCGATTAGAGCCGGCCTACCTTACGTACTGCCCTGTCGCCGTCGCGAGCTTACCTATGTGCCTATTCAACGTCCTCCCGTCCTCCTCCCACATACCTTTCTCGCGCCAAGCCCTTCTCGGGCTGTTCAGAGGGGCACAATCTCGAGCTGCGACTCTTTTGCGGTCCTTTCACATCCTTTGCTCTCGTTTGTGCCAAGGCTTGCGTTGCTCTAACCTCCACGGAGGAGTCTCTGCGGGCAAAAATTTCGAGAGATGCCAGGCAACGGCGACGCAATCCTCCCGGTGACGACGGCCGAACGGTCCCTGGGGGCGAAGAAGCCCCCCTTCCGTATCCTACCTACGCAATATACCGCCTTGAACTCTGGAGATGCTGAGATTACTCTCGTGTTTTGGTGGTGACGATTCACGATAGTTTACCTGCTCGTAACTCAATTGCGAATCCGAACGAGGCTGACGACCTGCGACGACGATGGCAATATTGTTTCTTCTTCTTGGCACCCAACCTACGGGTTGTGGGCGACAAAGGTTCATCAGATGGACAAGATGAAGCGGAAACAAGCAAAGAAACAAACACCAACCCGAGAACGTCCACAGTCTGCTGTCCACAGCAGCTCCATGAACGCAAACCAAACATTGACTATTGGTAGTAGGGTACGAATACAACCCGCAAGCACATTGTAAGTACGGACCAGGTATTCACCGAATTACCATCAGCATCCGCGAATACCATCACTTACACTCGGATACAGTACTCCTAGACTCCCAGCTACCTTGTCCATTCACCTCGAGAATGCAGACCACACGGCAACGAGGACGGACATTCAAAGGGGACAAGCCTCACTGTCGCATCCGATGTACCGGTACCTCTCGCTTGTACCTAATTAAAGGTCCTGTCACTGGCCAGCGCCAGATCCCACCTCTCAACCTTAGTCGAGTGGGCACCGCATCCCTCCCCTCCGTGCCCTCCACTCCTCCAATTCCTCGCTCATACGGTTCACCCTGGCACTCCTGGAGAGGGACAGAGGCGTGAGGTCTACGGAGTACCTCTCACACACACCCGCGCCCACACACTTCTCTCACTGTGACGGGTCTCTGGCAGCCCCGAACTGTGATGACGAGGCGTGGCTGAGGTCTATTTCCAGCATCTGCCCCAGACCAATCTGGGCTGCCCGCCAAGACTTTTACGCAAGTGTCGGCGGAAACAAGACCCCAGATTGGTCCCCCTCGTCCCAGATCTGTGGCTCAGCCAGCTCCTCGAAGCCCCAAAGCCTCACTCTCAGCACCGCTTTCTTGCTGATTGCCCGCCGCAGCACAAATCACCTGTGGCAGTGGCAGTGGGCAGCAGACCACTGTCTACACAGTACACTACAAGCACTCACGACACGCACGGCGCGCCGCTCTGTTCCCCTCCAAGGCACCTCTTTAGGCACTCTGAGACAGCAAGACTCGACGCTCTCTTCCGTCTGTAACTGAACCAGAACCTTGGGGAGGGAAGAGGCCCACGGAAGGCGGCAGCTCCGGCGCCAGGCGGCTGCCGGCCGTGGATGATTACGACGACAATGAGCTCTTGCTGCCATCCGTGCCAGTTGTCGACACTTTCAGCATCTGCATCCGTACAGAGTATCCGGACTAGGTATCGATTTCTCGTCAGCACACGCGGAGGAGCCGGGGATGCGTCGATGAAGCAGGAATTACATGCTACGACTCTATCTGTACAACCTATCCGAGTCCCGAGCAAGCAAAAACCCATAATGTCGTGAGAGATCGATCATGTCACAAAGGACCAGACACCGCACGATAGAAAGGATGGCGATGACAGTGGCCGACTTTCACTCCAATTTTCCACTTTGCGCTCTCGCGCCCGGCAGCTACGTCCAGATCCAGCATCCTTCGTCGCCAATCCCTCGCCAGTACACTTCATCTTCTTCGCCGCTGCACATCATTATCCTCATTACGCACTAACCAATCTCCCATATGCACCTCAAAGGCCAAAAAGTTCTTTGATGGGGTCCATCAAATCAACTACGCCACCACATCCCTCACGCTCACGGTCTTTTTTGCAAAGACATGCTGAATTGCTCGACAGGCAGCACGACATTTGCATCCGTCCACGAGGATTCGCCATGTGAGACCAGCTCCGACTATCAAACCAACGGTCACTTCTGGGGCCAGACGCCAAAACAGTACTTAGTATCCCGTGATAAGGGGAGTTTGCTCCAGTATCGCCTACTTGCACCGTAATGCCAATTTCTTACTGGATGACTGGTTCGTCGCCGGCTGCGGCACACCATCTCCCCTCGCTTCTTTCGCGTCTCTCTCGGCCTTCTGGACCCCTAAAACTTTGTCTCGAGAACCTAGGCAGCTAGGTTATCCTTTTGGGTTAACCGACCTGGTCCCGTCTCGTCGTCGTCCTGGACCTCGAATTCTCGTCTGTGGCTAGTGTCGTCCAGAAAACCCCCCAGGCTCCCCCCACCCCATGGCGACGACGACTCAATTCCAACAAAACCAGAAAAAAGCTTCAATAGAGTGCGACACCTTTAATTCGTACTCTCTTTTCTTCCACCCAAGCTCTCATTGGTCTCTGGCTCCCATCGACAAAGGTGCCGCAGGGGCTTGACGACTATCTGCACTCTATTTCAGTCAGGTACGCGCTCGAGAAGTCGGATGTATTTGGGTCCTCCCAGTTGCCAGAAACACCCTGGGCTCAAGGTTTTCCCCATTCGCCTCCCACTCAGCCTCGTTTTCCCCTCCTGGTCCCGGTTTCTGCAGAGGGCACTTCGCCTATCCAATCTACCTGGCCACGTTTCTTCCGATCCCCGCATGTGGTTCCTATTCTCACGGACTCGACTCGTACGAATGGTGCATGGCGGAGGCAAGTTGGTTGACCTGATGAACGACTACAGCCTCGTCTGTAGGCCGCAAGCCGTACTACCTTATCGACGCCCGTCTTTCGGACAAACTTCATGGACGACAACCTCCTGGAGCTTCTTCGGCGGGCCAGGTCTTCCCGAAATCTTCTAGCGGCCGCCCTGAACCATGATTGATAGACTCTCCAATCCCAAGAGATCCTCGCCCGATCCAGGTCTGATCCCACGTCAAATCCTCCTGTCTGTTACGTGTGCTTGCGTAAACAGGTGGGCTCGTCAATCGTTCTCGTAAACTCAAATGTTCACAGGCCCATGTACAGCGGTACACACTGCTGCTGTCGTATGCGGCATGCCAACGTCTCGCCCCTTTAACTCGACTCGCACAGGCTGGACGAATTGATTGACTTTGATGAGACGAACCAAGCGAGTTTGTATTCCTCAGACGGCATCTTGATGAAGATAATCATCCTCAGGCAGATGGATGACGAGTCAACGGGCGACGTGCTAGAGCAGAAGCCCAAATGGCGTCCGTGACTCAGTACGCCGCGAATTGTACCCGCTCGGCGCCATCAAGCCCGATTCTTACCATTCTGGCCATGCTCGACTCTTGGCACCTCCCCGGCTGGGCATATTGATACTATCACCAACAGCAGCAAGGATATCAATATCTGTTGCGGTTTGCGTCCCGACGATTCCAAATCTCACAGTTGCCCTTCTTGGGGACCCGTTCTCCAGGTTAAACTCCCCAGAGTCTGGAACAGAGGACCTGATCGACATCCACGATGGCTTTCTTTGGCACACAAGTTCTTGGTGCGTGCCCGATGCGACGACCCCCCCTTGACCCTGGGGGCGTGGGCCTTAGCGGCTCAGTGACGCGTCATCCACCTTGTCTCACATCGGCGCTCCAATGGTGGCTTGCGTGTTGTTCCCAAACCCGTTGCCACCCCACATCAGACTGCACTCCTTTCGTCTCGAACTGCCACAACTTCCTACAAGGTCGCAGACAAGCGACTCTGCAATTCTCCATAATGCCTTATTCACAAATTAGAGAGCAAAACTGCAGAGCTTCCAGCGAGGGGGTGGGCACGGAAACACCTTAATACTGAACTGCTACTTTACCTACAGGTACCAAAGCGTCCTGGGGCTCAAGAAACCTCTCATTCCATCAGTCCATGTCGGCTTTCGGCAGAGTTGCCAAGGGGGCCTGCATCGTGACCGGCCAATTACGCTCCTCCCACCTCCCGTCTGCAGAGTTCGGATCTTTCATATTTTCGTTCGGGCTGGTTGGTGTTTTGAGGAATCGAATGTGTGCGGAATGCTTTCAGTCGCTCAGATGGTTGACCTTTTTCAAGACACGGAAACGAAACGTCTCGGTCGAAACACCCAGTTGACTAGGCTGTTGTGACATGCCGCCAGTGGGAAGGTTGCACGATGAAGGCATTTCATTCCATAATGGGACGAACGAGTGCTAACGACCTCGGAAGTCTCCTATGGGCCCCCGACCCTATGAAGACACAGGCATCGAGTTGTACCTGGTCCAGAGTCGGCATAGCCCGATGGAACCGGGGATATGATTGGATCGTCCTCATCCCGACTGAGAGAGCCGGACTCCGATTTACGCGAACTTCAAAATGAGAAGGGCTACGAATCCCTCTTCCTAGCATCCTGCTCATCAACCCGGCCTTGTCACGAGTGTGCAAGATCGCGACTCATGCTCTCACAAGAAGTGTCGTCTACTTCCAGCACTCTCAGTTCCAGCACGTCCAAATCATATTGGACTCCGCCCCGGGCTACGTCTTCGATCATCCTCTTGGCCCCCATTTCCCCCCTTCTTTTGACCTGTGAAACCGGGTTGGCCATGATCCCAAATGTCGAGATGACGAACCATTGATTCGTCCAAGGTTTCGTGCCTCTGAATCTTAGTTGCCTTTTCGTTTCCCCTTCACCGCTGCCCGCAGGCGCCCCGCCCCCAAGTTTCCGGGTACCCTTTTGCAGTCGCAATTACACGTTAGCCGCGCTTCAGATTCTTCCGGATAGACCAGCCTTGGGATAGTCAAGCCACAACACTCATCGCCTAGTCACCTTCCGTGACTCGATGAGAGGAGCAGACGGCAAGCCAAAGCTCTGTCTGCAGATGCCGTTGTCGTCGAAATGCTTTGTGTTTCTCTAGGCCCTGCTACCCACCCTGCCGGGGCTCTTTGCGTGGTCTGACCCGGTCCATCGTCGTTGGTACATAAGGGAGGGGGGCGGCCAGAAGAAACCTCGAGCGGGACGCGCGTACCCTGGACCCCCTTCCGTCCCTCGCCGTTCCCCCCATGGATGCAGATCAGACTTGAGAAGGACGACGACCGTCTAGACAATTTGGGCTAGTGTCATTCGATGCCCGCCCTCTAAACCTCTCTCAGCCGCCTTGCTCGCTCTCGTCCGCAGGCGAGATATTAAGGTATTGGGTCTTTGGACAAAGAAGGGTGCCCTGGGCTGAGCAATACAACGAATCCCGGTGGGATATCTGGACCAACTTCTATCCAGAGCCCCGGTTCTTTTTCATCCGGTCTTTTGTTTTTGATCTTGCCGAATATGCTGATTGAAGCTGGTTGATAGGTTAGTTACCCGTGGCCTTGACCGGGGTTGGGCGTATATTACACCTGGTTCTTTACCGAAAGA